GTTCACTTCAGATGCACCTTTATAAAGATGCTTAAATGTCTTGACTGTGGTTTTACATCTTGTCTTAATATTTTATGTTTTAACATTGTAAAGTAAACGGAAATTTAAAGGATTTTAAGAATATTGTTCTTATTATTATGATTGTTGTTGTTTTTTATATGGAAAATGAAAAGCCGTCAAATGTGATGTGGACACTGTATTATATAAAGAGTACAGTATAGTCAGTTGGATTACACACAGAACTTTTTTCCGTTGATCAATAATATGCTTAATTTACTCAAGACATATGTCGCCAGTACTTTGTGTTTTTTTAAATACAGTTGTTACCTATGTTAAGATTCTTTTAACTGAAGTTATAATTGCATAATTTTGATTGTTTGTAGACGGTAGAGATTCCAAGCATGAAAATGACGAAGAAGGTCAAAGCCATGCAGATGTTCAGACAGCCTGTGGAGAAAGCAATACAGGTGAACTATCAGTTTGTTGAATCTGGACATGCTTATCCTTGCTTTTAATCACATATTATACCAAAAAAGGATGTTGTTTTCACCTCAGTTTGTTACTTGCAAAAAAAAAAAAGTAAATTGATTGCTCTGCCTGTTTGTGTGTTTGAGATAAGATAACAATATGCACCGCTGTTATATAACAGTGTGTTATTGATGTAAAAAGAAACATGACAATTTAAATAAAAAGAAGGGGAAATTGAAAAAAATATAAATTTTACATATAATAGTAAAAATTAGATACATGAAACCTCCCAAAGAAATTAATTATTAATATGAACATTATTGTGAAAACAAGTTAATATTAGTAATATTTGCATAAATATTTTGAATAATGAACATTCTTTAATTAGTTTTATTGGAATTTTTATAAATATTTGAATAAAATAATAATTTAAATATTGAATATTATTTAATTACTTTTATAAATTTATATCCCCCCACTTTTGGACAAAGTGTTTTTTCATTGACTTTATTCTAATACCTTTGAATAGTGGATGATGATGTCATAATGGTATGATGACATGAAGTTTTGTTCCAGGGAGACAGAGTTGGTATCTGTGTCACCCAGTTTGATCCTAAATTACTAGAGCGGGGTCTTGTTTCCTCTGTGGGTGTTCTGCCCACCATCACTGCTGCCATCATATCTGTTCAAAAGATTAAATACTTCAAGGGACCAGTGGCTACCAAATCCAAGTTCCACATTACTATGGGCCATGAAACTGTCATGGGGAAAGTGAGCTTCTTTGGACAAAAGAGAGATGGAGTTGAAGATACATCTGGTGCTGAAAATAATTTCAATTTGGGGGAAGAGTATATTTATCAGGAGGAGTTACACAGTGGGAAAAGTGTAAATGAAAGTAAGAATGATAACAGTGAAGTCGATGAAAATAAACCAGTGAGACAATATGCACTGATTATGTTGGAGAAACCAGTTACATGTGCACCGCATTGCCTTGTTATTGGTTCAAAACTGGACACAGATATCCATGCTAATGTCTGCCGTCTTTCATTCCATGGCCACTTGCTTCTGCCAGTTACAGACCCAAAGTATCCAGAGACCTTACTTCCCAATTTAAAAGTATATAAGATAAAGCAAAAGGAAGGCTTGGTGGAGAGGATAGCTGATGACTATTCTGTAATTGGGAAATCTTTATTTAAAAAGGAGAGCAACATTCAGTTGTTTGTAGGATTGAAAGTGAAACTGTCAACAGGAGAAGATGGTGTCATTGAAGGAGGGTTTGGTCAAAGTGGAAAATTCAAAGTAAGGATTCCAAGTAAGTATTGTGAAATAAAAAAAAAAGAACTGGCAAGTATTCCTTTTTATGTGTACCTTATTTTTTCAAACTTACAAACTGATGAATATTAAGAAAATGCAGGAAGAGTTTGAAAATCAGCTTGATCAGACCATTATTCCAACAGTAATGATTTTTTTTTCAGCATATATTATACATAATACAACTAACAATTGATCAATATTAATAATATACAGCCCCCGGTTTCACAAAGGAACTCAAGTCTGATTATCTGTCTAAGAACTTGATTACCAACATTACACCTTACCCTATCAGGAACAGTGTTACAGCACTCTCGTGGAAATCCTCATCAACTAAGCCAGGGCACTGACTTAAGTTTTTTCTGAAACTTGGGCCAGGTGTTCGAAAACCAGCCTGGACGGATTATTTTCTTAAAGTAATACTTTTTTTTTTTTTTTGCGAATTGGAATTTTCAAGGTGTGGCATGTAGGCCCAAAGACCTTTGCCAGTCATTTTTTAAAAAAATATCTATGTTACCTACAGTGCATAAATTAAAATTGGTGGTGATTTTGCTATTAGGCAATGTTATGTAATATCACATCAAAATTGATGAAAATCCTTAGGCCAGGAACATATTCCTAAAATCCGTTTTACCTGTTGTGCATAATAAAAATTTGGTGTTGACTTTGCTGTTAAGCAAAATGTATTATTGCTTCAAAATTGACTAAATAGTCTGTGTTGTGCATCATTATCTTCTGTTTTTATGTTTGTACATTTGACAGCTTTGCCGCATTGTTTGAAATTCTGATAAAAAGTTTTTTTCAAAAAAAGAAGCTGTTTATTGTACCACCAGCGTTAGCGCTGGCGGTACACATGGTTTCGGTCCCGTCCGGATCGTTCCGCCAGCTCCGCCGGCTCCGTTGGCTCNGGGGGTCTATACGAATGCGCTTGCTCCAGCTGGTGGTACAATATTCGGAGGTGGTATCGCCTCTCTGATCCTCTAGTTTTGATATAGATTTAGTGTACAGAAAAAGCATGGATTATCTATCTGTTGTTTGAATATGTTGTGTGCAAATTTTGGGCAGGATTTGTATATGTAACACCCTATTTCCATAGATTAGATCGACCTAACTCCCTGGGGGTTCACACTAAATAGCTGTCAGCCGGGCAGACACGAAAGTTAATTACCCCTTACAGCTTGTAGTAGGCGGGACGGACATTTAAGTCGGATTATCTGAAAGTAATCTAGTGAGACTCCTGTGGGGATAGATCGATCTAAAATCTATGGGAATAGAGCCTAAGAGATTTTTATTGAAAATTTTTGTACTCACATTGCATGCAAGTGTATATCTCTAGGCCTCTTGGTAATTTGGCATGCGTCTACACCTTAATCTGCCACTGTTTATTAATCATTACTTAGGCAGTCATTTTAATTTGTTTCAGATGGTCTGCTTCAAGGTACGAAACAAAAATTGTCTGCAAGTAGTAAAAAGAAAGGAAAGGCTGCTGCAGAAGAAACAAGTCAGGAATCAGATGGTGGAAAAGAACCAGTAAAAATTTACCTTATATTCAAGCGTTATATATATGACCCAAAAAAGGAAATGATTCAAATTGATTGATGGGTGTTTTTGCATTAAGGCATTCTAAGGAGGAATGACCTCTGCATCTTTCTGTTGCAAGCCATGAACTCAAACTTTACAATATGAAAAAAAGTTAATTATCAGTATTTGTAATCAGCTTTGGTAAAAAATGCAGATAATGAAAGAGAATGCTTTAGAATAATATTTGAAAAGAAAAGAAAAACAAATTGCATTATGGTAGATGGGATGGAAGGTGTAGAAATTGGAATGTGTTCAGACATACTGTATTTTTTACTAGTCAAATGGATAAATTTCCTTTTTTTCATCTTAAATCACATGCTTCAGATAAGATAGGCTTAAATGATTCAAGATGTGAAGTCTGTGCTGATTTTGAATCCAGGTTTAATGACTGCAATTTTATGAAGATTCGTCATAAATTTCATTTTTTTCCATTTAAATAGTGTTGAAGTGAAATTCTGTAATCCCCACAATGTAGTCCCCTGTGTGTCCCCTATTACATTTTAAAGAATTAATGGCATTAGCTTTTAAGTGAACTATGTGTATGCCTAACTAATGGGTTCAGTGTACTTTTAGAAAATTCAGACTACCAAATTTTATTTATTCAACTTTTAAAAGAATGTGAAAATTAATTTTGGATGTCAAAAGTAGGAGGATTTTGAATGTAGTCTCTGAGAGACACTTTTTCTGTCAAACTTAAAGGGATAATAACTCTTCGTTTTGGCCAAAAAATGAATTTTCCTGGAGTAAACAACAATTTTCCCATACTTACCAATGGTTAATGAATCCATTTTTACATTCAAAGTTAGTCCCTTGTTTTTTTCTAAAAAGTTTGGTTTTTTGTTAAAATCTCTTAGAGATTTTAACAGAGTATAGCCATCAATGGAGGTCACGTGGTCTAAAGACAAGCTCAGATATCAGAAAAAATAGCTATAACTGCCGTTTTTGTGGTAAAACAGAATATATTATATTTCTATGAGTTATTCACAATGTTTTAATTGTGAAATATAGATCTCATACGAAGAGTTATTATCCCTTTAAATTGGCTGACAGCAACTAGCATCTCATGTAAACCCAAACCATTGAAGTAAGTGATGACACTATATTTGGAAAAACAACTAAGAAGTCTTTAAATTGAAAATATACAATCAAATGTCTTACAGGTAGTTTTTGGCCACATGTTGTGAAATAAGTGAGCCTATTCAACAGTTGTGCAAATTTGTAAAAATGTGCTGTTCTTTTAACTACATGTTTATGTATTTATAAACATGTGCAGGTAAGTTTCTTTTAAGACTTCTATGTGTGTATATATACAAATATTTATAAACATGTTTTTAATCAAGATTTTTTTATTTCCTTCTCACTTTTTTTTTCATTTGAAAAGCTCTGAAATTTGATATTAACACTGCATTACATATATACTGGTAGAGTAATCAGTTGGATTACTTCCAGAACTATCAGACTATATTTATTCAACTTCGAAATGAAAATTAAATTCAGATATTAAACCCTGGGGAGAATGGTTTAGCTATAAGTAGAGAAATGCATAATTGATAATGACATAAACAGTGACTGTACATACATTCAGAATTAAAGTAATGTTTGCTAGGGAATGTCCAATCCTTGTATCTCTGCTTGCTGTTTCTACAACCAAATGTCTTTGATATAATGAATGACTTTCTTAATTGTGACAATTGGAAACATTTTAACATATTCTAAAAGTAATTTCCAGCTGAGCTACATATCTGGCTGATGATATCATGTTCATAAGGTACAATATTTCACTTCTGGTAAATAAACATCTTGTGATTTACATGAATCGCCTTCATCCCAGTTCATTACTGTCTCATCAAATTAAAGTGACTTCATTATCACCTTCAGAAGTCTGAAGAGATTTCTATCTTAATATATGCTTTATAAAATCTGAAACCAGTTTGTAAAATGGGAACTCTTGAGTCATAACAATTGCAGCATAAGAGCTTGTCTTGCCGACCTGTGGACTAGCCATAGTGCTGCCTCCTGGTGACTGAGGTGCCCCTCTGCGGAGGTAACGCTGAAGTCCCTGCAGAAAAGAATTCTGAAAAAGAAAAGAAACCGCTAGTTGAGTGAAGTGAATATCTGCCACATATTAACAAGACTTACATATATAAACAACTTTATAACTTTAGTTTTTTTTTAATAGGAAATGTGAAGAAGGTGCAGTTTAAAAGCAACATGTACATCTATGTTTGGGCTGAACAAGGGACTAATTTGGTTTATGACTTTGCATATCAACTTTATTTTAGTCATATTAGGTACTAGAGTTGGGAATCCATGCTTGCTTAAAATGTAACTAAACTTTTGATGCAAAACTGGAATGTTACATTTCAATTTGTAAGAAAGAAACTTCCCAAGGACATGTATGTGCAAATATAAGTACTAATGTTGAATGATTCAGTCATTTGGTTAAAATCTATTAGGATCAAAATTTTCCAGGCTTATTTTTTTTTCATATAGATTAATTTTAGGATAATTCTACCTGCCTTCCCCCATGACAGATGAAACTGATTATTTTTTAGTTGAAAATAACCTGCTTTAAATTTTGAAGTGAAAATTGCTGAAATGTTTGAGCTTTTTTAGAACTTTAAACATTTAGCTTGCCTGAATATCATTCTGTTTCTTTGTATTTTTTGTTTATTGTCTATACATGTGCTGCCTCCATACTGTCCATCATGACCATTTTTTCCCAATTATCAAACATCCTTACAAATTCACATTTCATCTCTTGGCTTTATGTAATGTATGAACATAGTGTAGCTTAATGAGAATGTGTTTAATGAATGTATCAGACTGACCAGTTCTGCTGCAAGCTCCCTTTTCAAATACTGCTTCTCACGTTGATGGAGCTTTGGGTCTCTCAGGTAGCGCATGGTTTGAGACAGCAAGAAATAAAGTGTGTTTTCCAGGACAAATAATAAAATGTGTCTGAAATTGTGACATGAATACATATTATTTACCAGTGTTCATCAAATACTAGCCTAAATACTAGTTTATACATGTAGGAATTGTTAACACAATACACAATACAATAGATTTATAGGATATCCGTGCTGGGTAAATGTGTCTTAAATTATGTGCAAAGATGTTTATAGGAAAAACTACCCAAATATTAGCATATTAATATATTTGATAACTTCCACACTTAAAATGCACATACCTTGACACTGAGACTGCTGGAAATGGAGTACGGTTTGGGGAAGCAGCTCTCATCTCACTCTAAAAAAAATAGATAAATAAATCTTACATGAAACATGATAACATTTAGCACACAAAAACACAGGTTTAGAACAAAAACTGATAAAAATCAACACAACTAAAACCATTAGCTTACAGTATGTGTGTATTAAAATAAAAGTACATGTACCTTCAACAAATTTATCAGTTTCACAGTGTCAGTTTTGCAGAGTAATGCATATGCATATCTGTACTTACCCTGCTGAGCATCCGTACACAGGAATTGATACAAGCAAGGTATGTCCCGAAGTTGACAGGTCCCTCTTTCTCTGTGGATGGTGTGTTAAATCCCAGGTCTAGCAATGGAGAGCTGTCATTCACATCCAAGCTCTGAGGACAAAGAACAAATAAAAACATGGGGTGACACTATGGTTTTTGAAGATGACCACCCTGTAATGAACCCTGTTATGCACTTTCATGATACAGTACAAGGCCAAATATAGCTTACAGATGAAATTGGAGAAACAAAATTGCTCATAGAGCAAAAAAAAAAAAAAAAAAAAGATCTATCAATTTTAACTTAACCAACAGCAGCAGCTGCTGTACTTTTTGTGTGAAAATAAAAGAACGATAGAGTGCTAGAAATTTTAGCTCAGTGGTAAAATCTAGAATCACTTCCCACACCTACCTGGTCCAGCATAGCCTCGCAAAGATCTGGAGTAAAGTGACGCAAAAATGTCAAGCTGAGACCAACCAACTTCAAATGGCTAGAAGAATAATGAAATAGAAAAAATGTACAGATAATACCTGTCCCATGAACTTTTTGTCTTATAAAGGAAAAATAATCTATCTTGCAGTTTTGCTAAAGTTCTTTCAAATCTATGCAAAATGGTCCATGAAGAGTAACTCCAGACTACCACCAGTTTGTTATCTTCATCTCCAAGGATTTACTGATAATACTGTTCTGATTATAATCCCAAACACTGCCCAATTTATAACATGTATCGTAATTACCAAGAGTCAGAAAATATGTATTCCTGAAGCTTACATCTTCATTTGAACATGTTCAGAGATTTGTGGGAATAATCATGCAGAAATTAAGCCTCTTTTTGTATCTCATGCATGTAATCTCACTTAAAATATCATATAAAGGGATTTGTCTACCTCTCTGAAGTGGTACACTGCACAACTGAGTTTTTTATCCCTTATATCTTTTCTTTTCACTTAACTTAAAATTCAAGTCTTACATGTGGGATCTATTTTGGACATGCACTGTATGTTGGACACTTCAAACTAATATCACCTTGCATTTCAAATAGAATTCATTTGTTTACATCAATTAAATTAAGTTTGTAACATACATGGACATATTTCTCTTACAAAAAAGGGTTGTTTTAAACATTATAACATAGTTAAGACTCCGGTTAAATTAGATAAAATTCCAGTTAACTACGAAACCAGATACATTATCTGTCACAGGGCTTAACCTATGGGAAATTTAATTCACACCTTGAAAATGCCAATATGTGAAAAATGAAAAATTCACACTCACAGTGTTGAATCAGCCTTACAAGCTAGCAAGATATATTCAACTGAAAATTCCTAATATTTTTAAGGCACTTGTGATGAAAATGGTATACAAAAATATATTAAACTCAAGATAGTAATGCTGGTGAAACAGTCCACAGGACTACCATTATTTGGGAATAGTAGTCCTACTGGACCTCATTGTTTTACAGATCAGTCTGTGCATTTCAACTGGAATATCATGTTCTGCCTAAAACTGAACAAATACCTCTCCTGCACCTGCACCAACTGTTCTGATGGCTGTTCTACTTCATCTGTAGATGTCTGATGTTGTAAGGGAAGGTGCTGAGCCATGCTCTGACTTGCCAGGACTTTTTGGGGAGGCTCTGAACCATGCTTTTTCTGAATATGAGCAAAATACATGACAGGAATACAACTAAATACACTTCATTAATCTAAGTAATCGATGAAGAGTTGGCAAGTCTCCTTCTTGGACATTACCGTAGACATCACCTATTGTCTAAATGCAGAAGCAACAGAGGGAACAAAGGCTGTTAAATCTACAGACATCTAAAATAGACCAAGTAAAATAAATGTTCCATTTCACATGCTAGCAATAAGGATGGTATTAAATATTGCATAAAAAAATAGCTCGGAAACTGGGTTAAGTATGTGAAGACATCTACATGTATGGTAAGAACCTCAAAGCTGTTTCAATGTCAATAGCTTTAATCAGAAAGAAAATGTTTAAAAAATGAACAATATCTGTGAATTTCCAATCCCTGTACATACCTCCAGTAAATACTTCAACAACTGTGGTCTGATCAGTAAAGATATACAGGAATGGGACACAAAGCAGATAGAGCTCTGGAACAGAAGTCAACACAATGATTATATAGAAGTCAGAACAATAAATAATTTAAAAGGTCAAATCATATTTACATATTAAGTAAAGTTAAGGGCTATGCAGTTATCAGCGTTCTGTTTCCCGTAAAAGGATTTTTTATTTTTTAAATGAGAGATCTGTCATAATCTGGCAAACATCTTACCAGCATGGTTCCTAAAAGCTGTGGGAGTTGCATTCTCCACTGTTGGTGATATGGGGACAGTTGACACAGAAAGTCGCAGGTCACCTCAGCTGCCTTCTGATCATCTGGATCAAGACTTGTACCAACATTAGATAAACACTGAAACAATACAAATAATGGTGGAATAGATTATCATGGATTCTCATGTAAGGAGTGTAAAAAAGTTAATTATTTCTATAGAGTCTAAACATGTTTTTATCTGTGGGACATGGCATTTTAACTTTCACCAAAGGTTCCGATTTCATGATTGACCCAATGATGTGAGCTCAAGATATTAGGCAGACATCTTAGATGGGGTGGGGTCGGGGGTGTGTGTGGTGCAGACATCATGGTTCCAGCTTAGATTTCATGTGAGTTAGCCTACTTCATCTTTCCTGCTGTATCAGTGCTTCAACTTGAACAAGCTATCTACGTTGACTTTCTAATTTACAAAGCGCACATGAACAAGTTAGTCATATGACGGAGATGGTGTGTTAAAAAGTCATACCTAACAAGTAAAATGTGCTTACAGGGGTATACTCTCTTAAGAAATTATTAACCTTTTCTTAACAAATACATGTACAAGTAATGTTCAATCTTTTTTGCTTGCAATTTGGACTTAATTTTCTATAAGAATTATACACTAACAAGCTAGACAGTTAACACTTTTCCTATTTAAAATTCTGGTTTTTAAGTCACAAATGGAGTGCTGACTTTGTGTGTAAAAACCAGTAAATTGGTCTCCTATTAAATATATAGTGTTCTACAGAGGACAAATCTCTATCTAGAAGTATTGAAATGCTTGATATGCTAAATAGTATTTTAAATGCTAAATTGGTCAGCAAGATCAAAGAATCATGTAAATTCAATGTACTGTGGTATGTAGCACAAAAAGAAATTATCCATCCTGAACTAGAATTCCCATTTTTCTAGACTCTTACCCACTCCATTTGCTGTTGATGAACTCCTAAAAAGTCCAAGGCATCATTCAAGAAGGTGTATTTTAGTGTTGACAACATTGCAGAGTAGAGCTCTACACTCAGAAGATACAGACTGCTCAAAGTCACAGCTGAACCCTAAAAAATGGTTCACAATAAATTCACATTATTGGAGTATACAAAACTAAACAAGAAGCATTGTACTCTAGGAAGTAAATGACTGATGGATTGTGGACAAATTTGCAATAACATTTCAATCCAGCACCTACTTCTTGAAGTTTACTAGAGGTAAGCTCTGTTTAAACTGTTTTGAAAGTAGCGAGGGATGCATAAAATACTTTATTGTACTCAATTCTGTCAAAAAGTTGATTGTATTGACTTAATTGTGCTCTTTTTTGTACCTGTGTGCTATGTTAAGATCATTATTGAGATATTAATTACTTATTCTGCCCTTTTTGACAATTTAGTACCTAAATGAATAGTTAAAAAAATTTATGCCTGTATACCTGATTTCTGCATGCCACCGTTTTCTGTTTCTCAGCATTATTCTCCTTATACAGCTCTGACACAGCAAGGCAAGTGTGCTGTGCCAGGCCATTCAGTGCCAATGCTTCTGCAGACTGAAACAGTGGAATAACAATTACATTTGTAACATCTTTTTTTCTGACTGATAAGTTTTCAAAGTAATAATCATGACAGATAACACATATAATGTTATGTTACAATCATAATACTTGAAATGTCTGGATAATGTAGATAAACTGTTTCTTATAATGTTACCTGCTGATATTTTGCCAAGGACAGAAACAGAAGAAGAACTGCCTGGATATACTGAAGTCCCTGTCTGGCCTGAAAAATTATAGAAATAACCATAGTTAAGACAATGAAGTGAAATTCATATTGAGAAACTTTTAAACTTTTCAATTTTGACAGAATTGAAAGCATTACCTCTAAAAGCCTGAACAAGGATTGGGGGGGGGGGGGGGGGGGGGAGTCACAACCCATCTCACATNTTGGGGGGGGGAGTCACAACCCATCTCACATCTGGGCTAGTATTATTAGTTCAGACAGCCTAGAAGCCACTGACAGTTATTTTCCCAATTCAAATATACCCATGCCTTTTTATGTAATGTATATTTTAACGGGTTTCTTTCCTTTGAGTTTGCAACAAATTTGCAAGAACATCTCTTGTGAGTTTGCAGCAAATTTGCAAAAGAGCTTACTGGGAGGGATTTTCTGTAAGTTTGCAGCAAATTTGCGATATCATTTCTTGTGAGTTTGCAAAAAATAAATGCAAATACTTAGTAAAATATCGTCTGAAGTAAAACAAAATGAACATTATCAAAGACAGATTCACTAATCCAACATCAATATAAAAGAAGAAAAAATATTTTCCTAAATAAAAAATAAGGATGTTTGTTACTGCATTCAAATGTGTGCTATTACTGCAACAAAAATTCGAATGTCATAATATACAGCTGATGTACAGTGACAAATTAGACATTTGCTAATCCATATAAATTAAATTTATTTAAAATAATCCCACAAGAAATTTTAAGAAATGCATTTTTTCATAGAAACTAATAGGAAATATTGTAGGAACCTTAAAGAAATTTTATGTTATCCTATAGAATTTCCTATAGGATCCTACAGAATTTTCCATAAGAAATCCTATAGGAATTCCCATAGAAAATTTTCGTAATGGGTACCAAATGTTTTATTGCATCTTAGCACTTTTAATTAACAATTTTATCAAACTTATACTTATTTAGTGAATTTAACAATTTAAAAAGGAAATTTAGTTACAAATAAACATTTCTATTAGAATTTGATGAAAGAATTGGGGTATATCATGAGATGGAAGAGGAGGAAGTGTACAGAAAGCTGATTCAGAAGGAACTAATTGGAATCTACTTTAAAAATGTAAATAAACATTAAAATTTAAGGTCCTTATATTATACAGAGTTCAGTAATAAAACACCTTAACCAAACTTCAATGTCTTCATTTGACTGATAAGTTTTAAAAATACAATTTACTTCAAACTGCCAAATCCTTTTAATATTCTACATAAATAAACCAGTGCCCAGTGGCTTGGAACCACTGCCTCTAGGGTCAACTGGTCCAAGCAGACCAGTGCTGAAAAACTTCAATTTCCCTCCCTGCACTAGTACACTGTAAGCATTTGCTATATACAGTGACTCTTTGCTGAAAGAATAGTAACTTCTATTGTTCACTTATAAAAAAATAAATGAGAATACATTCCTAAAATTATTATTGGCATATCCCGAAATAATCTTCTTACATACCAGCAAAGCCAGATTATCTCAATCAAATGTGAAACTTATACAAATACATTAATATGGTAGACATTCAGACCTATCTTTCAGGCCCATTATCCTACAGTGTGTGTGTGTGACAATTCATGTTTACACATTACCAATGACCTGAAACATAATTTATGTTGCAATACCAGAAATGATACTTATTTTGAGAAAATGACCTTTATAACTAAAAATATCAACCAAATGGAAAAAAATCAGAATTATGTAGGAAAATAGATTATAAATAAATGGTAAGGTTTCCAAGATATTGGTATACACATACATGCAGAACCCTAACAATAAATGGTGGATTTTGTTAAAGATTTTAGAAAATAAAATTCACATTAATCCATCAAAGCCCTCAACTCTTACCTGAATATATGTTTGTACAGAAGAAAGTAAGACTGGAAGCACGGTGTGCTCTTGAATAGATGGCAGCCATATTGCCGGGTCCTCAATGCTCTGAATAAGCTCATCCAACAAGGTGACACATACTGTCAGAATCTGGGAACACAAGTGAGTTCAAATATAGCCATTTTCATTAATTTTAAAACTGGATTAAGTGTGCAATTATACCAGACAGCAAACAAAAGAGTGAAAAGCTTTAGCTGTTTACAAACAAACAATTTGCTGAAGAGGTGGTTAGGTATACAGCTAAAACCGTAATTCCTTTGAAAGTCACGTAGCTGTGGCCTAGGCCTCTCAAGGCCTCATTTTGTAGCTTCGCCATCCGCCCCCTTTCTGGACAATAGAAGGGGAGGATCACAAACACAACAGAAGGGGGAGGACAGCAAACAATGGAGGCCTAATAAGAAGCAATGCTTGGAGTTACTGAATATGTACTAAAGTTTCAAACAAGCTACATCTGGACAAATGGATTTTCCATTGATCTGTCCTACTAACGGAGATGCAAAAGTGATGCCTGCCGTCTCTTGTGGAAACAACAGACATGTTCAGTCAGGTGGATAATCTAAGAAACTAGAGAAATGCCCTATAATTTTGAACAGTTGGGATTCTCAACATAACAGTGTAGCTGTAGTCGACTGTTAAGGGGCTACCTATTTTAGCTGTATACTGGTACTTAGAGGATAATTACATGGACCTTCTTTACAAGTCTCTTTTCTTGTATACGTGCAAGGTTTCTGCAGTGTATACATATATGTTATACCTTGAGGAGCAACTCCACATCTTTACTGCAAACATTTGCTTTCCTTGCAGGTGGAAGTTGGTAGGTCACTTTCTGTAGCAGTGTGCACACCACAGGACACAGACTCTTCAGGCTCAACACATCTGTATGGAACAGTACAGTACATGGTAAACATATCAGGAAAGAAGAAAAAAGCAAAATGGAGGTAGTGGCCTGCTTATTCATGTAACTTACAATAGCAACAATGAATTTTGGAACATTAACAAAATACTTTAAAATCCTTGAATGCATGAACTTTCAAGGGTTTGAAGCACTAAAGAAATCATATAAAATAGAAAGGCCATAGGAGGTTACTAGCCTTATGTCACAGAGGTAAAACTAAGTGACAGTATAAAGTGAAAATTAAATAATTAAGTGAAAACTATAAACGAGTAATTAAAATGAAAAGTGCTGCTTGACTTACCTTGCTTTGCTGTTAATTTTATTTGCTGTGTGGCCAGAGTCAGGGCTCCAAGCAGACCTAGCTGTATAGATGGCAGTAAGACCTCACTACTGGCACAAGAAAGCCTCAGAGCAACCTCAAGTTGATATACTCTATCTGTCCATGGCTTTAAGATACTGGAATATCATTGAATGACAAAGTTTACACTCTATCTGTCCATGGCTTTAGGATACTGGAATATCACTGAGGAATATCACTGAATGACAAAGTTTATTATCATTTACTGATATAAACTTCTTTAAACCTAGAGAATCAGAGGTGTTTCTGCCTCCAAGTATTGAACCAGTACCACCAGCCTGGAGTGCCTTTTCATCTAGAAGTAGTCCTTCCCCTATGGTAAACTGCTTTGTGTAGTGTCTTTTTTTCTGTTAGAGCTTTTAAATATACATACATAACTAAATTGTAACATTCTTCCCTAATAGGGTATACCAGCCCCAGGGTCTGTCCTTCTAAAATCTTGTTAGCAGTTTTATATCATAATTGAACATGGATTGTAAACATGTGTCACTGACTGTATACAAACTAATTCACTAATGTGCCTGGTTTGGTCTTAAAGTGCAATTTCAGATCAGAAAGTGATCTGACATGGTCTTAAAGATTAACCAGAGTCTCAAATTGAACTAACTCTGTTTTTCAGATCATAACTGTACCTGTAGCAGTGCCTGTACTTGATTACACAGTAAGACTATTATTAGAGTGACTTTCACTTTAGTGGTTAAGCAATCAACTTTCCTCACACATTCAGTCTAAACATTAAATGACTTTCCTGGCTGGCAGAGAGAACTATTTAATAGTTTGGTTGCAATGCTTGTGATAGTAACAAGTTGGAAACTGTATCTATGTCATATTCATCATCAGTCCTATGTATTTGAAGACAATCAGACGAATGGTTTTCCATGAAATGTGGTCTCTGTATTGCATGTATTAACAAATCTGCTGGGAAAAAATCGGAAAAAAATTGTCCTATCAAGCTGATTTTCCAACTTGACCCTTTGTATTTTATTAATATTCATCAGTTCAGTAAGTTTGAACACAAAAGTTCAAACTGTTTTCCACTTATCCTGTTATCTCTGAAAGTGCACAGCAGCAGCCATGACAGATGCTGGTGTAGGCTACATTTGTGTCTGTATATAAAAATGGTAGAGGCTCTGAATGCATGGTTCTTACCCAGCCCAAGTGTGGAGCAGAGTCATGGAAGTGGCAGACAAAATTGAACACACCTTCACCTGGTGGGTGTCTGTAACATCTGCAAGCTGAAACAGAAATAAAATAATGCACATTTATAACTGAACACAGGCCAATTGTTCGACATAATCACTCATGCCATCTGATGTACACAGCTAAAGCAAGAAATCTAGAATGTGTGGGCCCTCTCTTCAAATATCTCTCTGCTGAAGGAGTTGGCATACAGGCTTAATACAATTGCAGGCCTGTCGCCAGCAATTTCAAAAGGGTGATTCTTTTTCTGAAAAGTGGACCTTTTACAATGGAACCTTTGTACCTAGATCAAATTTTACCCAGAATGGACCTTTTCCTAACAAAAAGGGTGGTTCTTTCGAACCCCCGAATCCCCCCCCTGTCTCCGGCCTGAGGTGCAAACATACAAAGGATGGTAAGTAGATTTTGGCAAGTTGTAAAGTTCCTTCAGTTTATTTCAGCAAAGGGATAGTTTTTTTGTCAATAGCTGCAGATGTATACTGTGCTTTAATTAGCAGTTAGCATTACAATCAGAAATCATCAGTGAATAGGGCTGTGAGATGTGTGCTTACCATTGTGCTCAGTTAGCCTGCAGCTTTTGTACATGTATATCAGTATAATTGAAAGGGGTACATGTAGGAGGGAGATTCACCTTTTCTTTTTTTTTTTTTAAAGAACCCCTACCTGTGCCTGTAGTTCTGTCAGTAGATCACTGAGTATGGTAGACTTTGCTTCAACTGTTAAACCCAAAACTTCTCTCTGAAATGAGATTGATGAGGTTACTAATGCTAGGGAATAAATTTGGTCATGTTAATTCTGTTCTTTGCTATGATCAATTTAATTTGATCTACATTGTAAATGACACCAGTCAGTCCAGTGCAGGCTATATGTATGCACAGACACTGCATAACTAAAGTTTACGAAGGATCCTCTCTAAATGCAATTATTGGATCATTAAATTATTTGGAAGTGCTACTCATTCAGATCCTGAAAAACTAAAACCAATCTAATCTTATCCAGGTCTTATAAACGAATAAGGTGTTTACTAGCACTACCCGCAGATCTTTAGCAGTAATGCCCATCTTAAGCACAAACCCATGTCGAATTAATCAACATACCATACAATTATTTAGCACCAACAAAGCAATACCTAGCACTAACATTCATACGTTCTGATACTGCTGGTTAACTTGTGGGTTATGTGGTAAACATGGGTGTTAGATCTGCAGGTAGTGTTAGTAAACACCTAATCTGTGAATAAGGCCTGTTTTCACAGCTTAAGATTTATGAAACATAATATAAGCTGGGCAAAATGAGTAGTCCAGAAGGAAGATGCAACAAGGACAAACTGAACTAGACTGAAAGTCCAGTATTAGATTCAAAAACTTTATTTATGTAAAATACAAATGGGCATCTTAAGTTTACATATTATTATTTGACACAGATTGAAACAATGCTAAGTTGCATGGTTAAATTAATATAACAAAAATGCTTTTTTATTTGAATACTAGTTTTCAGCAGAACTCGAATATATTATTGTGATTGGCAAAGAATTTTCTCTTAAATCAAGAAGGGATACCAAGTGGGCCATGTACCTTAGAACTGCCTGCCACCCCCAGCACCATGTTCCATGCAGTCAGCAGCTGTATGATGGGGTACCACATGGGCCCCATACTACATACCTTATAACTGCCTGCCACCCCCAGCACCATGTTCCTTGCAGTCAGCAGCTTTATGATGGGGTACCACATGGGCCCCATACCACGTACCTTGTAACTGCCTGCCACCCCCAGCACCATGTTCCATGCAGTCAGCAGCTGTATGATGGGGTCATCTGACATATCTTCTAGGCTGTGCCTGCAGGGCTTTCTAAGTAGTCTTCTTATATACTGTTATAAATACAATATATACTGTTATAATTATAATAATAGTAATAAAATGTGATACAATAAAAGAGGTGCCTCCTGGGTATTTACCACTATCTAGCTACATGTAGGTCAAACACATCAAAAGGAAAATACTACACATGTATCCCACTTAGATTGAATGTTCTTCATTGTTTAGATTTGGTCTGTATAAATAAGAATGAAGACTGTTTTCCCAATACAACATTTGGATCACTTCAGCTTGGTAACACAAACTAACATGTAATAAGGTGTAGCTTATTATAAAGCAGTAGTTTTGTTTACTAAGGGCTAGAGAAAACGTAACATTATTAGTGATTAAGTCTAAACGCCATGATTGTAAGAAGTATGCATGAACAGCAACCATTAGCCATTGACATTAAAAATCATAAAAATAACACTTTTACCCTCAAAACCAATGATATTCATGACCTCATTAGTAAAATGACCAAACGTCAACTGAAGCTAAATAGAGTCCACGAACATAATATGATAATATCGTAACAACAAAAAATAAAGTAAATATTCTTCAATCAATAGCTTATACTGAAATTGTTTACCTCCGATATTTCAATGTCTGTCAAAAGCATCTTCATCAGGGAATGAGGCTAAGTAGGTGAATAGCCTCTATTCAGATTCAGAAATATTGGAAGTAAACAATTTCAAAACTAAGCTGTCAACTGAAGGAAAGTCTTAAAGGGACAAAAAATAGGATTAAAAACGCCTTTTTAGTGCATGGATTGCTTCCTTTTTAACTTATCTGAGAACAATTGCTATGGGTAAAGCATAAAATGGCAGGTAAATGGCCTTAATCAATATCGAAAAAAAGAATCATATTCACCGTCCACTTTCGAACCCCGGGCGTCAGCCATCTTGACACAGTTTGAAATAACGCGGCTTCTCCACTCAGATACGAGATGTAAACAATGCAGCCAGCATGTCTCACTCGACTGCAAAGGTGAGCGTGGGCGAGAAGAAGAGGAATTGTTCACAGAATCTTTGCAGGTAAGCGAGTTATAGTCACTATATGTGCTTTAGAATGGGAAGGTGGCAGTGGAAATAAAAATATCTAGCAGTGGAAATTTAAAAGGGTAGATAACTGCTACATTTCCTCGGATAACGCACTCGCAGTCCCCAAACCACTCGCACTGCGTGCTACTAGTTACATGAAGCGTGGTAGTGCACTTTGCCCCTGAGGTATATAGTTCTGTAAACCAGGAGGAATACCGGCGTTTTCTGCTCAATGTGGTCATCTACCAGTACTTGCAGACGAACCTCACACCATATTCCCGCAGGGGAATCCCATGAGATATACAATGTAACTCGAGTACTGTACTAGTTGGGATAGAGGGTGTTCTTTGTACAACACGTAACTCGTTTGTAAATTTATTAATATTGTCAGATAAGATAAGATAAGAGTTTATTTAGCCAATTATAAAAATCGGAAATCATTTTATTTTTGGAGCAATATAAAGAGTAAAATAATAGAATAATACAATAAATAAATAAATAAATAAATGAATAAATAAATATGAANCCGTTTTACGCGCATTTTATTTTCTGGTGTTGACTTTTGTAAAGGGTGTTTCCTTTTTCTTTTTGTTATCTTTCTCCCCTTCTTCGATGGAGTCTCAACTAATTCAGCCTCCTGTTCCATGTGCTTTCCCGGCAGCTTGAACTAGTTTTAACTAGGTCGCAATACGAGAATCTCGCGATATCCGGAAGTCTAGAGAGCTCAATAATGAAAATGGAGGTGGTTGTTGGTAAACCTCCGCTTAAGCGGAGGTTTTCTTTTTATTGTATTTTCCAAAAATGTTACAGAGCGATGGCGAGTGCCGGGAATGATAGATTAAAGGTTGGTAAATCGCAGAAAAGTACTGTTAACCTCGGGATAAATCGGGATAAATCAATTTTGGCGCGAAAATCCTCTTTTGTGTCCTTTTAAAACATAACATAGCTGATGGAATATTTCTCTGAATTACAACAACCCATATTATTCATAAGTGATTTTCATGCAGATTTTAGCTTGGGGTTTACGTGTTCGACTTGTAAAACTACATGTATTAAGAAAAAGCACACCCATGCACGCATGCACACACACAGCAATGGAAAGTTACCTCAGACCAGCGAAGGAGTTTCTTATTCTTTGAAAAAACATCCAGCTGGATTTGGAGATCCTTTTCTATTTTTGTGCTATAGGAAAGTTATAAAAGAATGTAAATTAATCATATGAAATTAATTCACAACTTTTACTATACACATTTTTTATATTGTTGGAAATAAATGTCCAAAGATTTTGAATCTTGAGAAATAATGTGACAATCCAATCTTTCCTCATGAGGGGGAAAAAAAATATCAATGTATTTTTTACTTTCACAAACCAAAAATTGAAACTATTGCGATTTTCAATCTATAAAACATTAAAAATAATACGCAACACAATGGTTGATTAAGGGTCAAGGGAAGATGAAGTGATTAACAGAATGGCAAAAGACAAACTGGTATGAAACGCTAATAAAATCAATTAATTTTCCATGAAGATGTCAACACATTATCCCAAATTGAATAATGAAAACATCCATGGTAATATATTTTCAGCTACAGTTAACACACTTAAAATTCATAACATTGTAATGAACTTAGTTATCTTTGTAAAACATTGGGGGAAAGTATTACTTATGCACAGTATATAGTTCCATGGCAATGACCCTCAGCACATTTGCTACCGTCTTCATCTCATCTGACCAGGACGACTATGGAAAAAATAGTCAAAATGCCAGTACACTACATGTGTACTGCCAAGGCATATAACATAAATTACAATAGATTAAACAAGTATCATGCTGCTGTTTAGTTATGGTTCAGAAAGTAATAAAACAAGACAATTTTACACAGAATAACACATGTACTACTCTGTAAGAGCCAATAAAAAGAAATTTAAAACCTTCCAATATATATACATCCACTGTTAGAGATAGCCTCACCTCCTCCTGCTGTACTGGAATATCTCTCAAAACTGGTGCACAAAGACTGCCCCAGAACAAAGGACTGAAAATAGGACAGGATTGATAAAGCACCAAGCACACTCCCACGTCTCATTTCAAATTACATGTATACCCATGTCAGAATATGCAAAAAATAAATGCACCAATTCAGGACAAAGACATCAACTGTCATGCTAACAGTCAATTAAAAAAACTGCACATAACATACATGTACAACTGACTTAAGAGAAAAGATGTCAGGATCTCTATAAATTTCTTTTTCATTATGCATAGATGGGAGTTAGTGATAAAAGGTTTGTTCAAGTACAGGTCCTAGATTCAAAACATGGCACATTGGTACATTTTCTATCTGAACTGCTTAATTGGAATAATTTAAATAATTTTTCCTTGGTGAAATGGGGTGATGGTGCACATGGAGTGCCCACTGACTATGCTTGTAAAGAGACCTTTTTCTGAGTGCCTGCATTGCCATGTCCCTCTGGCCCTTCCACAGTGCATAGATGAAGTCAGTAGCAGCCCGTAGTAAACTAGGAAGGCAATGATATGTGCCCTGGAACATAGCACATATTTGTTAATGAATAATATATATATATCCCACAATACCATTTCTCCATAACTTTCACATTGCAGAAAAATACCTAGACTTGGATTACTGGACTGTACAGTGCATCAATTCTTGGGCAGTGAAAAAATATACAAATTTTGAACATCTATTAGTCTTGGTGCATACTTTTTGTACATCTTGACAAGATCATTATTTTAAAAAAAATACTGTAGTCCATGAGCCAAATTGAAAAAAGGCCTTATTTAAGGATTTGGCTGCACCCCCCGTCAGGCAAAGGTTTTATGATTGATTCTTGTAGTTTAGAACCTGAATTTTTCATTTCTGCTTGTTTCCGGCTTGAAAAAGTGTCCGTTTGTACCGGAAACAGGCCAAATCCAAGATGGCCGCCAGTAAATTCATGTGTCAACTGTAAATACAAAAATTGATTTAAAAGTTACTTAACAACTTAATATTATCAAAATTTGCACTGATCACAAGTACTTTGGCCTTCTTTGATTTTTCAGGCACTTTACATTTTTCAAGATGGCGACTGAATCCAAGATGGCGGCCATTTTCCTTACTTTTTGTGAAAAAATACAAATACCTAAATTTGAAATTTTTTTTTATTAACCAAAAATTAGGAATATTTTACATGTTTTGATGTATTTGAATAAGTTGAAGTCTATATTTTTAATTTTTACCAGTTAATTTATCACAAAATTGTACATTTGAACACAGATGGCTCTAATCCAAGATGGCCACCACATAAAATGGGCTTTTTGTTTTGATATGTCAACAAGCCTTTCTCAGTATAAAACATCTCAGACTACTTAATGGAGGATTTATTGCACAGGTCATGGTATGAAATGTATGACTGAATAATTTAAATTGTTTTGAGATTTTGTTCAGGGTATAAAAATCCAAAATGGCCGCCAATTTCTGGATTCAAAACGTACATTATTTTGATTTGCATGTTAAAAAACATTAAATTGAATAATTAGCAAATTAAAAATATTTATTTTTAGATAAATTTATCTGTATTGCAATCTCATTTTGCTTCTTGGACACTTTATTCTGTCAAAAAGTGGTTAATTTTTCTTCATTTATCATGATTCCAAGTTTGCCATTGATAAAAATGAACTGCACGCTACCCGTATGGACAATACCATATGTTATGAGCCTTACGTAAAAGGCTATTTCTGAGCTTTATTGTTGAAGTATGGAATGGAATATATAACTGAATGATTCAAAATGCTTTTAGGCTTGTAGTTTAGGGTTGAAAAGTCCAAAATGGCCGTCAATTTCTGGATTCAAAACAAACGACATTTTGATTTGCATGTTGAAAAGCATCAAATTGAATGATGGGCAAATGATTAAAGACTATATTTTGATAAACTACAGTGTCCTTTTACTGTTTAGAATCTAATTATTCCATAAAGTATTTATCTAAGCTCCAATCATCAAAAAAAATCCAAGATGGCCACCAACAAAAATGAATTTTAGGTTAACATGGATGAAAACACACTGTTGAGTCGTAATTTTATACATGCATATATATATATATATATATATGCCTGTGCTTAAAAAGGTTGAGCCAATCTCAGATGCTTTGCCGTTTTCTTGAACAGAAATTGATGCATAACACACAAGGGACAGCAATTTTTTTCAGCAGCAACTATAAAGGTTAGTAAAATGACAATTTTAAATATTGCAGACAAAATGTATGCCCAAAATGCCCTAACAAGAGTGACGTACATCACTTACAACTTAAGGATCAATAGTTTGTTATATGGGGGGTGGGCTGTAAAATTTAATTTTCATATGATAGCACTTCTATTGTTACATTTCAAATGGACTGGGGTTACTGGTACATTGCTTGTTGAAAGTTCCCTGTCAAGCTTGACGAAAGAGCCAGGATCTCAGTCAAAAAAGGGACTTACTAGTAGTAGTGATAAGATTTCTCACATTCTGCTAGGTGTTGACCATAAAGAAGAATCAGAATTATCCTAATCTCAAGCAACCAAAAGGTAAAATCTTTAATTTATCTGAAAAAAGGGATGGATAACATGCAGCTCTAGCATTATTCTACATGTATAAATCCGGGAAGCAATCACTATCATAAACTAAGGGTGCTTTCCCAGAGATTTAGATCTATCTAGAGATTAAGACTTAGATCGACCTAACTCCCTGGGGGTTCACCCTAAATTGCAGTCAGCCAAGCGGGCACCATAGTTAATTACCCCCTTACAGCTTTTAGTAGGCAGGACAGACGCTTAAGCCGGCCAAGCTGACAGTAATCTAGTGAGACTCCCCACAGGGATAGATCGATCTAAAAATCTATGGAAATGGGGTGTAAGACCAGCAAAGAAGTTGCAAGAAAATGTCTGGATCTCCAAGAACATCTTTTGTCTCTTTAGAGAACAGTGCTGGATAATAATACATTCAGGGAACTCATGAAGTGGTGCTGCAAAGTGAAGTACATTGATGGTGAATGATGTATGGCACATGTAAGTGACGATGAAGGAGTTCAAGCACAACATGACAAATGATGTTTATGATACAATGTATATATAGGTGCAGGTAATTCTTGCACTTCACGGATAGGTACTGCTCAATATGTTCCATTATTTCTTTTAAAATCCAACATTATTCTGTTGAGAGGAATAATATTTGGAGATCCAAACATTGGAGAAACACAGACTAAAACAAACTTTCTTAATAAACTAATTAACAAATAGATCACCACCAAAATCTACTTACTTTTAGCCTAAAAAATGACCTATCCTGAACACTTCATTTAAGTCTATCCTGAAATTTTTGAGTTAGGCTGATAACAATCTGAGAAACCATAACAAATGGACAAGCGAAGGTGAAAATGTGACCGAGAAGAGGTAATAAAGCATGCATACTAAGCTCCCGCATACATGTGTGTATATGGATCAGAGACCTGAACACAGGTCAAGAGGCTCACCCTCTTAAAACAAAGGTGTTTGCACACAACCTTTGGCATCATCAGGCAAGCCAGAGTAACTATTACAGAAGTTTTAAACAGGCATTTCTGTGCTAAAGAAGACTAAGTTGACTTGGACATGTGAACTANTGTGTGTATATGGATCAGAGACCTGAACACAGGGCAAGAGGCTCACTCTCTTAAAACAAAGGTGTTTGCGCACAACCTTTGGCATCATCAGGCAAGCCAGAGTAACTATTACAGAAGTTTTAAACAGGCATTTCTGTGCTAAAGAAGACTAAGTTGACTTGGACATGTGAACTAGATGAATGTTGCATAGCAAAATCCCAAATCAGCTGTCACCTGTACTATTTGACCAATTGGTTTTGGGTAGCAATCTCAGAGGAAGACCATGGTTGAGACTTAAGGACTGAAACTTGCAAAAGCAGCCTGTTTAGTTCCACACAGTGACACACTGGCAAAGGAGTAAACATTATCTAGAGCAAAGTAGAATAAATCTAATTGTCTCTCAAAGAAAGACTAAAAGAGGTCAACAACTCGCTACAGCAAAATGAACAGACTTTGAAGCAAAATCACCATGAAATACTGACGTAAACCCTGTAACACCTCCCTTGCTTGTAGATTCTAAAACAGAACTTGCTTATAAAACATGGAAAAGATGAGCCATGAAAGAATCCGACGTTAGAAGACTATGGATACCAAATTGAGATATTCATTGCTGCATAAGACTCTTAACTTGAGTGGTGACCATATTGAATATTGTAGACATGAAACTGGTTTAAAATATAAAAAAATTAAACTTCTTAATAAAGTCTTAACTTTTTAAAATTATGTATTCAAGAAATATTTGACGAAATGAATGTCCCAGCCCAATTATTTGAAAATCATTTGCAGTGGCACCCCATCTTGACTTTATTGATGTTTTTGGCCATTACTTACTAGCAAAAGGAGACTGGAATTCAATCAAATTAATTAAATGTATAACTTTTTAGAATTAACATTTGATTTCGATTATTTTTACTTTTTTATTTACATGAATGGCTTATGGTAAGAATTCACAGTTAATAGTAGTATGGTTGCCATCTTGGATATCCTGTCATATTTGAAACATTTGAAATATTTTAAATAGAGAAAGCTTCGAAATCATACCAAAATAGGAAAAAGGAGTCTGCAATATATCCAGTTTTATCAAAAACATGTACATTACGCCTTCTGTATTCATTTTCAATGCAGTTTGATTTTTTCTCATTACGTACAGAGAATTTATGGGCAAAAAATCAGAAGGGATCATTTGTTCAATTCTGTAGCCTTCCAAAAATTTGAACTGAATTAAACAATACTGTAGATGAATTATTGCATGAAAAAGACATTCAATTTGAAATCTAGAAAGACAAAGCTTTCCTTCATAATCAACTCACTATAACCAACTATTTTTCATTGGTGGCCGTCATTGATTTATGGCAATCAAGTAAAATATGATGAATTTAAGGAAATATGAATGGTCAAAGTAGCAAGAAAGGCCTGGATGTTAAAGATACATTAAAGATATACGTCACAGTGGTTTTAAAATAATGTTTCTTTAATTTCTCTCTCTATATATATTATTAGTAATGAATCAGATAAGTAAGCATATTAAATATTATTTAATGTACGTAATAGCAGCCATCTTGAATTTTAATTGCAATGTAAAAATCTGAGAAAGTTTCTTTGAAATAATTCAAAGAAAAAATTATTTAGGATAAAAAGTAATTTAAAAATGAGTTCAAAAAAGTACAGAAATACTGTGTACGCAATTTAGTAAGGCTCTCAACGTGGTATTGTCCACACAGGTAGTTGCAGTTCATTTTCAACAATGGCCAACTTGGAATCATGATAAATGAAGCAAAAATAATCACTTTTTGACAGAATGAAGTGTCCAAGAAGCAAAATGAGATTGCAATACAGATAAATTTATCAAAAAATAAATATCTTTAATTTGCTAATTATCCAATTTGATGTTTTACAACATGCAAATCAAAATAATGTATGTTTT